GGCAACTGACCTTGCAGAGATGACCAAAGCCTGGGCATCCCCTGAGAGCCACTGTGACTACATGTTCTGATGGTCTAGCTCAAGCCTGGGTCACTGACTATGGCAAAGTAAAAGTGACTCAACTGAGGGCCCTGCCCTCAAAGGAATTTACAAGTTGGAAAATACCTACAAAGTGGCTCTCCATGAGAGGGCAGGCTGGCCTAAGGGCCCAATTCTTGAGTTTCTTTGACTGACTCCAGGAGGAGAGAGGCTTTCTTGGTATTTTAAGAAGCACCCAGCAATAACAGCCTTGGGGAGCAGAGTTTGGGTCTAGTATAACTGGCTTACATCAAAAACAATTCTACAACTTGAAGATGGAGGGATTTTTTTTTACTAAAGTGACTCCTCACCCTTTTCCTGGCCATGATATAATAATAATAATAACTCAAATTTCTGTGGTGCTTTAGAGCTAACAAATGCTTTCCCCACAATGAGACTGCAGTGTAGACCTAAGGATGATAAATGGGGAATGAATGGAGGTGGGAGGGGAAGAGATGGACACTGCTGCTGCTGAAGTCACTCAGGAAGGTGGGAGGGAGCCTGGAAGATGACTGACAGACACTGAGGGGGAAGAGCCTGGGAGCTAGATCAGTGGGGTCCAACTCAAATAGAAATGGGGTCACTTCCCCATACAAAAGGATCCCTGAGGGCTGCATACTGACTTAGAAAACCACATATGAGCATTATCTATGTTTTACTGTATTTTTATTTAATTCTGTTAAATATTCCCCAGTGACCCTTTAATCTGGTTCAGGCAGCACTCTGGAGTGTCAGGAGTGTTCTGGGTGCCAGCTCACTTCTGGTCTAGACAAACTGCCGAGTAGAAAGGAGAAAGGGAATCTATGCCCTATGGGAAAATTGAAGGGGAAGGGGATAAGAGAAGGCGGGGAGAGATAGAAGGTAGGGCAGATTAGGGGTATTCAGAATGCATGCCATTTTGGGGTAGAGGGAAGGACAAGATGGGGAGAAAATTTGGAACTCAAAATCTTGTGGAAGTGAATGTTGAAAATTAAAAATAGATAAATTAATTATAAAAAAAGAAAAAGCAAAGGAAAGAAAAGAAAAGAAAAGAAAAGAAAAGAAAAGAAAAGAAAAGAAAAGAAAAGAAAAGAAAAGAAAAGAAAAGAAAAGAAAGAAGAAAGGGTAGGACAGAGGACCCAAGGCTGGGCAGGCTCAAGATGCTCACTTGGGAACAGGGGCCTCGAAACCCTTTGAGGCTATATCCCACGTAGGTCTACAAGGCCCTGTGGGTGACCTTCCAGGGACTAGCTGATCCTCTGCTCCAAAATCCTCAGATCTCAGGAACTCAAGCTTACGATGAATGCACAGTCCAAGGCTCACCATGGTGTTGGCAGCCACTGGCGTGACCTGCTGGGCAGTGATAAAAGCCCAACTCCAGACCCTCGAGGTCATTCTGAATTCAGTAAAGCAGGGGGGTGGTAGGTCCCTTGGGATGGAGGTCTAACTCTGTGACTCCAGACTCAGAGTCACAGCCTCATCACTAAATCACAGCAAGTCACTCAGAGTAACCCACAGGCCTCATGTAAGGCAGCTCAAGGGATTTTACTATAGCTAAAACTCCTGCCCCGGACAACTCACTCCCAGCCTGAAGAACAACACCTGATGTTTGAGAGAGGGAAGAGGAAAAACATACACAGTGAAAGCAACCATGCGAGAAGACAGCTGATACTGCGCAGCCACAAAATCCAGGTCAAAGACCACAGAGGCTGCCTGCCCTATCTCAACAACCTTTGTCAACGCATACAGTCATCCCTTCTCTTTCACAATAAGGGTACAGGTATAGATAGGATTATTAGGCACAAACCTGGTTGGGTGCTAGGTTTGGGGGTTTTTTTTCCATTTTTACTTAATACGTTTCTGGGAGCACACTTGGTTGGTTATGTTAAAACTTGTCACTAAAATACAAAACCAGCCAAATGCCTGGGGGTGGCAGGCGGGAGTCAGGTTTAGCAAAAGCTTCACACTTGGAGAAAGCAGGAGAGAGAGAACACAAATCACAGCTCTAACCTTTACTAGCTCACAGACTCTGGGCAAGGATCTCACCTCCCCAGCCTCCATTTCCTATTATCTGCAAAGACGGGGATAACAGGACTTTAAACTGATTGATGAAGTCGAAGGATCTTTGGGATCCTCAAGGCCAAGGGCTCTTCACCTTTCAGTGAGAGCTGGACACCTTAGGCACACCAGCTGGGACAGCCTGAGAAGACGCCTTGGGCCACAATCACGCTTTAGGTATGGTTTTGTTTTTAATTTCTATGGAAAGAAATGCTCAATTTCAGCTTGAGGTTAGTGAAAATAAAGATGTCATTTTTTTCCATCCAAGTTCACAGACCCCTTGAAATTCATCCACAAGCCCCTAGGGAGGGGGGGGGGATCTGTGGAGCCCAGGCTAAGAATCCCTCATCTAATCCACCTTTCTTATTTTTTCAGAGAAAGAAACTGAAATTCAGATACTTGATACTTGGCAAAGAGCCAAGTAACACACCTGGAATTGAAACCCAGGTCATCTGATGTAAATCCAGTGTTCACTCCTCTAGAAAATACTGCCTCTAGCCTTGACATACTATGAAAATCATCAAGAATCTGTATGTTTGTGATCTATTATTCATTTAAAATTCTTTGGGGGCCGCTAGGTGGTGCAGTGGATACAGCACTGGCCCTGCAGTCAGGAAGACCTGACTTCAAATCTGGCCTCAGACACTTGACACTTACTAGCTGTATGACCTTGGGCAAGTCACTTAAGCTCGACTGCCTCACCAAAAAGCAAAAAAAAAAAAATTCTTTGAGGACAGTCATGCTGTTTTTCCAATCTTCCCTTCTAGCATCTGCCTTTTAAAAGGTGAAGGAAAAAAGAAGCAAAAGTAATCTAAAGATTAAGAAAAAACGGAATTTATATATTATTTCTCTTCTCAACATATAGGGTTTGGTTTTTCTTTAAATTTAAAAAAAAAAAGGCTGCAGTTATAAAACCCAGCTGAGGAGCTCCCAGCCTCTGATCCTAAATCCCATGAGCACACACACACACTGATATGTCAGAGTTGGGATAAAACAACTTTGTTCAGATGGTCCAGGGGAGAATCCAGGAGGAAACTCAGGACAACAGCATCGAGAAATTTAGTAAAGGCCCAAATCCCAATTTGGCCAAGGCCTTGGAGCAGAGAGGCCAAGGAGGAAATGATCTTGGAAAACAGCAGCTCCCCAACACTTCTGTCAAGGGCTGCCAGGGAGGGCAGCTGCCGGGGTCAGATCCGGACACTCACTCTTTCCCCACAATCACTGAGACGCTCTTCCTTCTCTGGAGCCCAGCATTTGGGTGACTCGACTCCTTCGTGCCCACTAGCAAATGCTGATCTCATTCATTCATTTCTTCTCAGTGGCCAAGGTAGATTTTGGCAAAGTGAGAGCTGTCCCAAAGTGTAAAGATGGGCAGCCGCAGGCTAGAGAGAGTTTTCAGCCCACCCTGGATCCCTTCAGAGTGAGCTGGCAGGTACAGGATGGATGCCTCACTGGAGTCCTGACTCAGGTGTGGGATGAGCTGGCTGTCCTCCCAGGACCCTTCCAACTCTGTCATCCTGGGCTCCACAGGCCCTTGAATCACTTACTGCCACTAAAAGAGTACTAGACGGGGGGTTAGGATAGGGGTTCAAATCCTGTCATGGACTAACTGTAACCTTGGACAAGTCATTTCTCATCTCTGCGTCTCCTTTATGTATTAAATAAAAGAGTTAAGCTAGATCACAGGGTCATACTCAAGGTGTGCAAAATTCCCCAGTTAAACCAGATTAAAATGTAACTGGGGAAAATACTTAATAAGATAAACACAAATACAAAAGAATATAATGAAGTACTTAATTCACTGCCTGCCTAGTGGCAGGGCAAAGCTTTCCCTCCACAGTCCTGACCCCGAATCCAGAACTCTTCTGTCACAGAAGCTTTCAAACCCCCAGAACCAAAGATGAGCAGCCTTGCCCTGGAAAGTTCAGAGGAGCCCCACACACCAGCAGCCTGCCTGACCCCCTGACCGCAGGCAGGAAAGAGACCCAGGGCTACCCCTCAGAGAGGCTCCACCTCTGTGTGATGTGGCTCAGCACCCAGCCTCGGGGCTGCTCCTTTGTGGGGAGGAAAACTTCTGGTGAGACATTTATGCAGCTGTCCCTGCCTAAAGACTCCCACCTAAGGCCAGGGACAGGGTTTTATGCTCTACACAGATGAACAACCAGTGTGCACCTGAGGTTGCTGTGCAGGAACGACCCTGGAGATCTTGTGGCTTAACCCTGTCCTTCAGAGGCAAAGGCAGAGCTGCAAGGGACACAGATATCATCTAGTGTCTTACACAGGAGGAAACTGAGGCCTAGAGGTCACTCCATAGACTAGCAGGGGTGGGAGGGACTTAGAACACTGACTGCCAGGGCTGATGGGGAAACTAAGGCCCAGAGAGGTCACTCCATAGACCAGCAGGGGTGGGAGGAGCTTAGAACACTGACTGCCAGTGGGGAAACTGAGGCCCAGAGAGGACGCTCCATAGACTAGCAGGGCTGGGAGGAGCTTAGAACAGTGACGGCCAGGGCTGAGGGGGAAACCGAGGCCCAGGGAGGGGAAGGACCCAGCCAGCCGGCCAGGCGTTAGCTACGTGGCTACAGCCCACGACCTTTGGCTGCTCCAAGCACCACCCCCCAGCGGAGGCGGGGGAAGTCCCGGCATGCCACGCGGGCCCACGACACTCTCGGAGGGTCCTGGCCTCCGCCCTTGGACCACAAGTCCCGGCATGCCCCGCGGGCGGCTTGGACGCGGAGGGTCCCGGCCTTCCTCTCCCGCCCTCGGAGGACCACAAGTCCCGGCATGCCCCGCGAGCCCCGGGCGCTTGGGCTGCGGGGCAGCCCCGCAGGGCACGCCGGAAGCCGTAGTCCGGGGGTCCCCGAGCCTGCAGGCCTGGCTCTCACCTGCACAATGCGGGAGCACTGCGTGCCCTTGCCAGCGCCGGGCCCGCCCAGCACGAACACGACGAACGGCTTCATGAGGCTACGCGGGCGGAAGCCGAAGTCAAAGGTTGGGGGGAGCAGGCGGCGGACGCTCGGACCCGGGGCCCGAGGCGGCTGCAGCAGGAAGGGCAGCGGGAGTGCGAGGCCGGGCCCGGAGACGCGGAGGCGGAGGCGGAGGCAGCAGCTCAGCATGCGCCAAACCTCGACTCCCGAGGACTGAATCTAGCTGCCTAGAAAGAGAAGGAGCACGGGGAGGGGCACGGGGGCGGGGCCGGAGGGGGCGCGGGAGCGTGCGCGGTGGGCGGGGCCTCGAGGGAGGGCGAATGGGCAGCAGGGGTCGGGACAATCAGGAGAAGCTTAGGCGGGGAGGGGCCGGCTCTGGGAGCTCTGAGAGCCCCAGCTGGGGTTAAGTTCCCCGGGCCGAACCTGGCGTCTGTCTGCAGCCCTCCCGATGAGAGTCTAAGGATTGGCTTTCAGTGCCGAGACTGCCACCCACTCTTTGTGATCCCATTCGCGGTTTTCTTGGCAGAGATACTGGAGTGGGTTGCATTTCCTACTCCAGCTCATTTTATGGATGGGGAAACTGAGGCAGACAGGGTGAAGTGACTTGTCCAGGGTCACACAGCTAGTAAGTGACTGAGGCCAGATTTGAACTCAGGGAGATGAGTCTTCCTGACAGCACGCCTGGCTGTCCATCCACTGTGCCACCCAGCTGCCCTTTCAAACAATACAGGAGGAATCGCCCTTCTGCTCCAGCCCCTAACTTGTCCTTCATTTCCAAAGAGGACTGATGTCATGAGGATGATGCCTTGACTTGCGTGTGAATTGGATTTAAGTGAGGCAGACCTGAACCGTGTCCTCGGCCTGACTCTCTCTTCTGGAGTCATTAATGTCCAGTGGCAGGACAAAAGTCAGGACAGCTGGCCGTGGTCCCGTGGGGGACCTTGGCATCATCCATGTCTGACCAAGGCTCTGTGGGCTCCCCTGAAGCGCCTGCTTCAGCCACCTTCCTGTTCCTTGGAACACATTGTTCTCAGCTGCCCATCCCACTGGGGGCAGGCTTCACCTGCTTGGGGTAGACACCCCCTAACTCACTGGTGGGTTTGAGGCCTGTTGAAACCCCCAACCTGGTTTTACTGGGGTGTAGCCCATGCTACAGCTTCTTATAACCACAGGTGAGAGTTGGGTGACAGTGGACAACAAAGGTGGATGAGCAGCCCTGAAAAAAAAACCCTCGTACCAGAGGTGCTGGTCCTCTCTGAACCCCCCATGTACCCCTCTAACCACCTCCTTCCCTGAGCTACTTCCCAGGAGGCAGCACTGCAGCTAATCAGGGGGCTGCAAGTCAGGGACATGTCATTTGAGGCCCTTGGAAGGCATCGTTGTCTTCCCTGTGATTTCATTGATCCAAGTCAGTCTAATTCTATTAGATTGTAAGTCCTTGAGGGCAGGCACTGTCTTTTGCCTCTTTTTGTATCCCCAGCACTTGGCACATAGTAGGTGCTTAATAAAAAAACAAGTTTATTGAATTGATGTAGAGAACTCCTAAATGAGAAAAGCTCAGCTACTCCTTCCCTGTGCTTTTTGATAGTTTTAGAAAGTTGCCTGAAACTTGAGTGACTTGCCCCAAGGTCACTTTTGGGACAGCCAGTAGGGGTCAGGAGGAGCCCAAGGCTTGCTAGCTCTGAGTCCAGCTCTCTCCCCTATCAGGAGGCCTGTCCATATGGCAATCTATTGACATTGGATGAATGCCCAGCCCATTGTAACACCAATCTGTTCTTATAATAAAGGCCTTTCCACAAGAGCTTTCATGGTAATCATTGTAATAGGTTTCGCAGAAGAACCTCTGTCAAGGGATCAGATATGATCAATTAAAGGAAGCACAGGCACGAACACAATTGCAAACCATCCTAAAAGGCTGATTGTGCCAAAGTAACTGGCTGACATTCACCTCAGAACAGCAAGGAGGCCACAGAGTGGCCCGGGGACCTTGACTGTCCCCTTGACATCCGTATCATCTCTCTTATCCATACCCTCCTTTCCACTCACAGCTGTCACCCTGGCTTAGACCCACCTCACCTCTTGCCTGGACTATGGCAATATCTTCCTAATGGAACTACCTGCCTCTGATCTTTCCCTACTGCAATCCATCTTCTGTATAGCTGCTAATCTAATCTTCCTAAAACACAGGTCTGACCATATCACTTCCCAACACAAAACCCCACTGGCCATTATTACCACTAGAATCAAATTAGGGATTGAATACCGTAACAGTGTAGTTCCAACCTACCTTTCCAATCTTAGTACACCTTACTCCATTTTGTGCATTTTATGGTCCAGGCAAACTAGCATTATTGGGTTTCATACACATCACTCTATTTCCCATCCATAAGTGGGGGTCACTTATGCTTGAAAGGCACTTTCTCCTCACTTCTAATTTTTGGAAGTTTCCTTCAAAGTTCACCTTAGACCCCATCTTCCACATGAAGACTTCCTGATTCCCTCAACTATTAATACCTCCCCCTACTATTACCTTGTAATTTTTTTGTGTATCCTGATGTAAAGGACTGTCCCTTTCAGAGGTACACAGTTTTACTCATTGAAAGAGGCAAAAACAAAGATAATTGTGAGAGAAACGCTTTTTTAAAAAAAAGTCCCATGGAGAAAATACACTTACTTTGGGTAAAGATGTCCCAAGTGTCCTGTTTCTAAACATATAACTTGCAAATTCCTGTCACGAGGACTTTGAGTTAATAGCTCAAAAACTCTGGTTCCTAGAACTGTTTGGTGCCTATGAGACAAATGTATATTGCCAAGTTAAGGCTTAGTTGTCAGGAGTGTGGATTTGAGTTTATAACCATAAGATAGAAGTGAATCATTTCACTGAAGGGGACCTTGCTTTGAACCAATAGGGTAGCTCACAGAAGAGCTAATTGAGAAGCAATGCTGATCCCAAGAGAAATCTCCAGTTGGGTCAGGGAAGAGATCTTATCTAAATCTTGCACTGCCACCTGCTTGGAAGAATAGGCTGGAGTATGCAAGCAGCTAGGTGGCTCAGTGGATGGAGCACCGGCCCTGGATTCAGAAGGACTTGAGTTCAAATCCGGCCCCAGACACATAACACTTACTAGCTGTGTGACCCTGGGCAAGTCACTTAACCCCATTTCCTAGCAAAAACAAAAAACAAAACAAAGATAAAGCAATGTCAGCTGTTTCCATGGTGTAGGACACCTGGAATCCAAAATAAGTTAAAAAACAAAATCCAAATCCATAAACTGACACTTATTCACCTTGAGTTCGCTTGTCACTTTTCTGCCTCCTAAGCTACCAGCAGTGAGGCTGCACTAGCAGACCTAAGGACATGAGCCAGGGGCCACAATCCTATAGCACCAGTGCTGCAAAGCTCTGAACTGCCAGTGCTGTCAGGTGGCCAACCCTGTAGCACTGGCAAAGCTAGAGCCAGGCCAACAACCCTGTAACATCAGTGCCTCAAAGCTCCAAACTACTGGTGCATCCCAAAGAACTAAGGAATAGGAAGCGGGATAGGACCCCAGGACAGGGTGCTATTTAGTGAAATGGGAAGATAGTTGTGTAACACTCCACTAAGCCTAAGGAAAAAAGCACAGCATCCAAGTGGGGCCAATTCTGACCACCCAAAGTCACTTGAGGCAGAGATCTAGCCTGGCATACTATGAATTACCTAGTGTGGGAGGAGGCTGAGATGCTTTAAGACCCAACACCTAAAGAAACCACAATCAGGAAGGGATCATAAAGTGAGTCATAGGGGAAAACAAGGGAGGGGAAAGACTGAAAATTACCAAACATTTCAGGACAAAGAAAACTCAGCAACCTTGAACACAAACATATCAACAGGAAAAACGGTAACAACAGAAGGAAATATGGCCCCCAGGTCCAGTAAATGAGTGGAAGCATCTATGAACAAATACTGCAAACAAAGGAAAATGATGCAGGGCTTAATAAGACAGAAGAGGCAGTGGAATGTGAGGAGAACATGGAGCCACAACTTATGAAACTTATGAGGGCAGAATTTGTGGCCTTCACAGAAAAAACTAATGGGCAGAATAGAAAAACTAGAATCTGTGATGGCAAGCCTCACCAAAGAAACAAAAAAGAGGAACATAGACTGAGAATGTAAATAAACAAAAGTAAAGGACAACCCAGAAGAAGAAAGGCAAAAGCAGTAACGTTAAAAGAAAAGATGCTTATTGTACAAGCAAAACACACTGATCTCAAAGACAGAGTGCATAGAGACAACCTAAGGATTGTAGGTCTCCTAGGAAAATATGACGGGACAAAAAACCTTAACACCATGATGAGGGAAATAATAAAAGATAATTCATAGAAAAGTTCCATATTCACCAAAATATTTTTAGCAGCACTTTTTTGTGGTAGCAAAGAACTAGAAGCCAAGTAGATGTCCGACATGGGGGAATGTCTAAACAGATTGTGGCACATGAATATAATGGCATATTGCTGTGCTGTAAGAAATGACAAGCACGATGACTATGGAAAAGTGTGGGAAGATGTGAACTGATGCAAAATGAAGTGAGCGAATAATACACACAGTGACTACAACAATGCAAATGGAAAAAATAACCACCATAAAAGAAGCTGTGAAACTACAAAAACCAAGCTTGACCACGAGGAACTGACATAAAAGGACATTTCTCCCTACTCCTTTGCAGAGGTTAGGATCCATGCGTTCAGAACATCACACATGACACTGGATCTTGTGCATGCATCGATCAGTTTTGCTGAATTTCTTCTTTCTCTTTTTAGTTTTTAAGAAAATTCTTTATTTTAGGGGGTGGCTCTCTAGGAGAAGAAGGGGGAATGACACCCAGGGAAATCTTGGCATTGTAGCAGTTAGTAGATGTTTAATATATGTTTGTTGGGGCAGCTAGGTGGCACAGTGGATAGAGCTCCAGCCTTGGAGTCAGGAGGGACCTGAATTCAAATCCAGCCTCAGACCCTTGACACTGACTAGCTGTGTGACCCTGGGCAAGTCACTTAACCCCGATTGCCTCACTAAAAAATAAATAAAAAATAAAATATCTATACATATACATATATATATATATGTTTGTTGATTATTATTATGCAAAGTCTGCCACTGATTCACTTCCTTGGGCAAATGGCTTTTCCTCCAATTTCCTGATCCTATAAAATTAGGCTAAGATTTTAATGCAGCTTGGCAAATAATTTTGGACAACTCTTCAGTGCAAAATAACAACCACTCTAGAACAGATGTG